CACACACACACACACACACACACACACACACACACACACACACACACACACACACACACACACACACACACACACACACACACACACACACACACACACACACACACACACACACACACACACACACACACACACACACACACACACACACACACACACACACACACACACACACACACACACACACACACACACACACACACACACACACACACACACACACACACACACACACACACACACACACACACACACACACACACACACACACACACACACACACACACACACACACACACACACACACACACACACACACACACACACACACACACACACACACACACACACACACACACACACACACACACACACACACACACACACACACACACACACACACACACACACACACACACACACACACACACACACACACACACACACACACACACACACACACACACACACACACACACACACACACACACACACACACACACACACACACACACACACACACACACACACACACACACACACACACACACACACACACACACACACACACACACACACACACACACACAAACTTTTTGTCAAAGTTGTAAAAAAGATAGTATAATAATTTTCGCTTCTTTCGCATTACAGGGCCAATACTAGGAATAAACAAAATATGCAACGTAAAAATAAATCCACTACAGGGAGAGTCCACAAAAAATCGTTTAAAAAACATTAACTTTGTAATACAACTCAATTGTTATAAACGTACATTGTTATAAACGTATGCCACACTTTACTTGATTTTTTTTCTTTTTTATTATAGAACCATTACAATACGCCTCACAGACTGACAAATGAATAGACTGATTAATTGGTTATTTAATCAGATTATGTATACTTTTCATAGTCTATAACCTGTTTGAGAAAATTGCAGTACCATGCCGAAATCGTATACACTCGTAAAGATATAGTTTTGACAGTATCAATGTTGATAGTATCAATGATCAAAAAAAGATATTTAATATTTTGATAAATAGTAATACATACATACATACATACATACATACATATATATATATATATATATATATATATATATAAAAGTTTTAAATAACAATATGATAAATAAACCATATATCTAGTAAGAGAATTAATATTATGTATAATAAAAATAATAATGTGGGAGAAAAGAGGAACTGATTATAAATATAAATATATATATATATAAATTTAGAAAAAAAATTATGCAAAGTTTCAACGTGCATCGTACTGTAATTTCTATGAAGAGATAACAGGTATATATTATGTTAATTCTATAATAATATTTATGTAATTTCATTCATCCATCGCCATTCACGAATTTACCCTCAATTTTCATTCGCATATTCAAATTTAATTTAGATGAATATATAAGTTTAATAATCTTAATGCTGGGAATTGAAATAGAATTTAGAACCTAGGCCCACATTTAAATTACTCGAAAATCTATTCAAATTCGTACCCAAAAGTCTTTTCTACCTTTTTTTCGATTATTATTATACGTTACGCTTATAATATATGCTTAATAAATAAAATCGAAACTACGTGTCTTTTGTGTAAAAAGATCGTGAGAATCACGTATTTATCAATATAAATTGAGGTGTCACGCAATGATATCTTCCAGACGATATACACACAATTTTAATTTTAAGTTTATTTATAAATACAAAAGTGTCGATAGTTTTCGCAAGTTCTCGCAATTTTCGTTTCTATCGTTACACATAGATCCTATTCGATTTGCGATAAGAAATCAATGTGATGAAATAGCGATAGTATGTATAAATATTACTTATTTATTTAAACGAAAATTGCTTATTACCGCCACAATGTAACATCAATATATTCACATATAAAGTATATGAGAACATTAGAGCTGTTCTCATATGTGACCAATGATTGATGAAAAGATTCTTATGTACTTTATAAATTTAGACACACAACACACACTTAATCTCTGATTAGGCGAGCATAATAAAAAATACATCAAAATATTTCAGCTTAACGTATCTTATTAAGATTCTGTAGATACGATATTTCATCAATTAATTGCAGGTATAGAAGAATTTTGGATACAAATTCGACTTAACAGACGATCTTGCAATAAAGGGATAGTGAATTATATAAATTGAAATAGAAAATATTAACGGTAACGTGTAAAAAAATGAATATCTCAAACATCCAGATTTCGATTAACTCCTTATAGAAGATCAATTTGATTTAATATCGATGTTTCTCCGTACCGATGCATGCTGTTTATAAGAGAAGAGATTGTCAATATAAACATTAAAATATTTTTTAACAAAAAAATAATTATTATTTATCGAACTAATCAAATCGACACGAACATTCGCTGGTAAATAAAACAGAACATTTTGTAAACACAAAGTTGTAATATTCAGAGAGAGAGTTTGAAGTCTTATCGTCAAATCTATAAATACATTTCCCTTGAAAAAATGATTGTATTCGTATAAATCCTGGCAATAATTACGGCTAAAGACTGTGGCGATAATGACGATACTCGTATTATTAAAAACCAACGATCTCGGATCGTAAACGCGACAGTCACACGATTTTTAATCTAATATGTATTGTTTACGCAACAAAACTATAGTATTTTCCTTTGCAGTTTATAAAGTGACGATATATTTGATACATCTGAATATACTTCTCTTGCAGAAAAAAATGGATTTGCTTTATTCATTTGTCAATAAAATATGTTGACAATATTGTTTATGTATGTATATATTTATATATATATGCTTGCTGTCTAAACTGAATGCTATTTTTATCTGCAAAACAACGACGCGACAGCATTCGCAAAGACAAAAAAATTTTTTCATCCATTTTATATAGTGCAAAAATGAACAATGTAATAATGAATAAGAGCTTCAATCCAAGGAATCGGTAGCATGCTTTGTAAAAATGTTCACTCTACACGGTTACACGGCCATTTGAAAAAATTACTTTTGTTACACCGTTAGTTATGTGATGCGTCGTATAATTCATAAAAGTAACAGGAAATAAACGCATTCGTATATTTCGACTTTTTTATAACGAAATAAACGCATTCGTGAGTCTGTATATATTCTTTGTGAGAAAGTAACAGACTCTTCGTTTCTTTTTGCGTTTTTCCTTTTTACCCATAAGTTGCAAGTCCGATGAACTTTCTGGATTGCAAGCCTACACGCGTTAATTATCATCTGACGTTACTGTGTCATAATCTTAACATCTTATATCCTAGAAATACACGAACGACTTAGGTTTATTAATTGTACATAACCAAAATATTCTGTTTTCTAATTTGTAAAGTATCTTTTAGATTCTTTAATTTTTTTTTCGTCATCGCGCTCTTTATGTCTCTTTCCCCATCCCATTATCCCCAGCATATAATATTTCAATCAATCACTGAATTATTTATTTACTTTGTCTGATTCCCGTAATGCCCTCTTTGCCGGTGGTTCCTCAATCTGAAATGTGAAATATTAGATATTATATACACGCAATAAAGAGATACATTTAGGAACTTACAAGGAAACTCACACAAGTGTCATGAACTTGTAATATGATGTACTTTAGATCAAAATAATAAATACGTTTTTATTATATGTGCCCTTTCGCAAGTTTAGGGGATGAAATACCCCTTTGAAGAAAATTGTTTTCATTCAAAGGGAATATAATGAAAATTATAAGAGATAGAAAAAAATATTTTGAATAAAAGTTGAATAGTTTGAAGAGGACTTTACAAAAATTATTTTAATAATTATAATAAGAAGTGGTGGGGGAAATATTAACAAAAATTTGTTTTTTAAATAATATCTGTAAAGTACTATTCAAACCTTTAACTTTTATTCAAAATATTTCTATCTCTTATAGTTTTCATTATATTCTTTTCAAATGAAAAAAAACCGATTTTCTTCAAAGGGATATTTCACCTCCTAAACTTACGAAAGGGCACATATAATAAAAAACGTATTTGTTATTTTAATCTAAAGTACAACATATAGTACAAATTCATGAAAATCGGAGACGGACACTTGTATTTCCTTATTAGTTAAGAAATCAATCTACCTCTTCTTCCAAGCCAGGTAGTTGAATTCTGGTTTCTGATGCTTCGGCAGGCTGAAAATAAATTTAATTAAATGAACGAACCAATATATTTCACGTGTATGTATGTGTTGTGCGCTCCAACGTTATAACATGTTAAAAGGAAAGATCTTTTAAAGAGGGTGTAACATTATATTCTAACGCTTCATCAAAGGAATGTTACCTGTGCATCGATACATTCCACTTCTCCAACTTGTAGCTTGAAATCATAGTTATACATACACGAAGAATTAAATAATATCCGTACTAATTAAATAATATAGTAATTTTATTAATACTAGTAATATAAAATTGATATGAAAAATATATCTCTCTATAAATCTACGATGAACGTCTGTATTAAACCACAAGTAAATTCCGTAAATTATCCAGAAATCATCGCGATACCATTCCGAAAATCGATCAACTTACCCTTGCATCTGTTTCGTTAGGTCCGATGCCTATTTCTTTCTGTTGTTTGGACTTAGTCCTGCGCTGTGGTCTGTCGCTAACTGAGTGCGTATTGTGGAATGATCCTTTGCCCTTCTGAGTAGTCATGTTCACTTGCATTTCCGCAGGTAAGTAATTTTTGGTGTTGCTCACCATCTCGTCCGCTGTACGTTTGAAGTACATTGTAGGAATTCGCGTCTCGCTGGGGAACTCCTTCATGTCGAAATTGGTGGTTTTTGTGTATATTACATTCATCGCCAAGTCACAGACAGTCCATAGTTTCTGCACGCAATAAAGACAAAGATCATTAATACAATACATCCGGAAAGAATCGAAGTTTTCTAATTTATGGTAATTACATAGTTCATGTCGTTGTCCTCAGGTTTCAACGCGTCTTTGTGACTCTTCATACGTTCCACGAGATTTTTATAAAATCCGTAGCAATAATATTCGTTCTTCGTGATGAGAGGTTCCAAGATGAACCAGAGACATTGTTGAATGATCTTTAATTGGCTTATCATCGAGTGACTCGTGAATTCGGGATCGTGTGCGAGAATAGGTACTGCGAAAACTAGCATGTAATCTGGCAAAATATGGGGCAGTTGACCTGCGAGATAACGAAATAACGAAATAAATTCTCATATAATTATAAAAGTGTTGTTTACAATTTTTTATTTATTCTCTTACCCATGGCTCGTTCAACGGTACCCAAAGAAAGTGTTTTCACGTAATCCCTTCTTTTGTTTATGTCCGTCTGCATATACGTTTTCAATACACACTTTAACCTTTTGTCCTGTTCCTTACCAGCCAAGGCGTAATACCCCATGAAATCTAATGGCAGACATTTGTTCGGAATCCCTCTTCCAAGACCTTTATGCAATTTACTGCCGAAGGCTTCTCTAACTTGGGGAACTTCATCCTAAAATTACCAAGCCGATGACTTAGATCTTTTATACACATGCGTTAAAAATATTATATCGACAATTTATTATAGGACAATAGATTATTTCCAACGTACCACCATGAGTTGCGAAAGATTATAGAATTGTTCCGCAGTAAACTGATCGCCGACGCCTTTCTGCTCGCATATCTTCAACATCGAGCAACCCGCCTGCAGCCGCAGCCAACTCATCTCGGCTTTGCTGAGACGTCCCTGTTGCAGCAGATCTCCCTTGTTCACTACAAAGGCGTTCAGCATTCTGAACGTCTTTTGCGCCGACAATACATCGGTTTTCAGTCCCAGCAACCAACGCGCCATACATTTCAATCCCTCCAGTCTGCATCGCGTTTCCTCTGGCAATTGATCTTCCCTGCACCAATCTCCGTCGACTGCAATGGCGTTTTGTTCGCTGCTCTCCTTCACTAGTAACTCTTTAACTATCTGCGGGAGAGAAATTCATCGGGTATACCATGAAAATGTGTCAAATGCAAGAATAATACACCAAAAGTGCTAAATTATGAATTATTGTTATTATACTTACTTTTCTGGACACCATATTCTTTATTTGTACTTGATATTTCTCTGGCAAATTATACGCTATGTGACCTAATGTGACTATAGACGTTCGATAGTACTCCGATGTCGGTGTTAGAGTGTTCTTAATTCTCTCGATGATTTCGGGGAAAATGGTATCGTGTATGTTTGTCATGTTAACGAACAAACATCGCACGGCCTGCTTTGCTTGCTTCGGCGTGCCCGTCTCGGCAAAGGTTTTACATATCGGCACCATGAGATTCATGATGTCTGGCGCTACGTCACATAGAGGTTTATATTTGCCGAGGAACGTGAAGATTGAGAGGACCAATGGCCCTACCATCTCGTCCTCTAACTCTAACAGATGAACCAGTTGCATCAAAATGTCATTGTGTAGGAAATGTGGGCCAAATACAAACGAAAGCATCTAAAACATCCCGATTAATATAAATAAGCTTCGTGCAGTTAAATGTCAATTCTCATCATTTACAATTTGTCGTAATAATATAAATTTAACATTTAGCTGTGGAATACGAACGCGACTTACCACAAGTAATCTTAATCCCTTTTCCCCAGCATTGTTTGGATTGAGACCAACCTCTTCTATCACGTTGCCTCCTTTCAGACAATCCAAAACGTACCCGATCAAAACCTGATATAATCACATGTACATAAACATTAACAAGCGTTACTTCACAGGAAGCAAGACAACTTTAAAAAACAAAATGCTTACTCGAATCGCTTCTTCGTCGATCATAACGGAGCTTACTCTCTCAAGGAGCATTTTAATCGTGTTGTAATACAAATTGGTCATAACAGGCTGTCCTAACTTTTTAAGGACCATACTTATTGTGTCAGCGCATTCTTTGCAAGAGACATTTGGTTGCACGATTGTTTCCATTCCTTGCAACAAAATGGGATCCTTCCTCATGTGGCCGCTAAACTTTTGAAGAAATTCTTGCACTTTCGTGGGGTCCGGCAAAAAGCGTGATATCTGATGAACCTTTGTTACCAGCTCGTTTGTAATATCCGATTTTTTCACGAAGTCTAACCACTCGACCACTGCTCTTCGTACGCTAAAGTATACATGATGATAATGAATTAGAGTAAAAATCTTCATGTATGTGATAATTATAAGAAGAGAGATATTATATTATATGCAAACATACGCAAGCTGATGTTTCTGGAGTTCCACGAAAGCTTTGGAAGCGTGATCATCGATTGTACCTAATAGATGATATAATTTCTTCATTCTCTCTTCAGCTGGCAACTGATAAGGTACTAGGCACGTATTCAACAGTCGCTCTACTAACAATCTATCTTCCATGCCTGCCATATAATACCCGTGCAATATTTTATCTTTAATCCAGGTTACCGCTTTTTTCGTGGCTTGCGGCACGTCCGCGTCGTTTAAGTGTTTCTTGTATATCATAGCCAAGCCGGACATTGCCTCTTTTCGTATTTTGAACTGAAAAAAGTACACAAACGTTAATATATTAATATTATAATGAATGATTCATCAAGTTCAATGTCTCACCTTTTTGTCTAAAGTTCTTTCTTTCACAAATTCAAGCAAATCCTCACTGTCTGAGACTACTTCAAAGTCTTTTCTGGCAGTTGTCACTATAGCCATAACGACTTCATAGCGGACGCTCTCATCAGCATCATGTTGCCTCATCTTCAGAGTTTCCGTGATGTCCTTCCTCAGTTCGGGGTGATTCAACAAAAAGTGCATCGAATACTGTACGCATTTAATACGTATGGATACGCTGATATCGTTGAATCGTCCTAGAAATGCCCTCCACAACTGGCTATGCTGTACTGCTAACTGCGAGCCTTTCTCGGAGAACATTCTCGCAAGTAGTGCCACAGCGCCTAATCTTTCAGTCTCGGAAGAAGATTTCAGCTTACATTCTAGCTGCGGCAGGACGGACAGCAAGACACTCGGGCATATATGATTCAACTCATAAATCAGGTCGTACACCTTTTTGCAAATCTGCAAACTTTTCTCTTCTTTGCCCAGTATTAAAACATGATTGAAAAACTATAAAATATAAAAGATAACATTATGTGCATCAAAATTAAGAAAATGTTCGTGTCCTTTTCTTTAGGTAAGAATCTCTAATGACTCTTTTTGACTACTCACCGCTTGTATATATGGTTCTAACGTATCGCTACACTTTATTACCAGCTCTTTAGCGAGCAAATACGCATTTTTCTTCTGCGTCTTATTTGGCTCTACAATATTCATTAATATGATATCCAAAAGTTCATTACTGACGATGTCCGATTCGGTGATCAATGGACATAAAACATCCAGCATAAAACTTTTAACTTTGCCAGAATGCTCATCGCTAGATACAAATGATAACAATCGTATAATATTGTAGAAATTTTAATAATTAACTACTCTTTTGTCCGGTTTGTACTCACTTGACTATCCGAAACATGAGGGAGAATAGTGCACAGAAGATCTCTTGACAATCTTCTAACTCAAAGCACATGTTGAATGATTTTACATAAGCTAAATTCTCAAGCAGATAGAAATACCTCTTGAAAGCAGGATCCTTTGGATCTTTCAAACCCGCCAGTTGTTTAATAAGAAATAGAAATATTGTTTTGACCTAAGAATGTTATGTACAAAATGATATTGTTAGACTGATCAACTCAAGTAATAATTTGTACTAATCTGTAAATAATAAATTGTAATTTTTACCTGATCGGCATCTTTGTAAGGGGCTTCTGGAGCATACACTCTTAGGACATCAGCGATACAGCAGGCAATAAGTAGTTGCACATCTTTGCTCTGATGCATAAGAAAGTGTTCCTCTGCCAAATGTAATGCAAGTGGAATGTATTGCTGGTACATTCCTTCATCTTGTCCCATGGCTTGTAATGTATGTGCCAGTGTCTAGATATTTATTATACATTATTGCTATTATTACATATTACTTATTATATGTTATAGTTTGTGTGTGTGTATATATATATATATATATATATATATATATATATATATATATATATATATATATATATGTTCACTATAGTAACAAAATTTGCCTTGTTGTTATACCTTAAGTCTTCTTATTAACTCATCTGGACCTAAATCTTCAGTGACTGACCTACATCCTTGTGGGTACACAATTTCCGACATGGTGGCTGCTATATGAACCAACCAAATGTAGCAAATATTTTATCCTTAACGTATTCTAAAACACAGTCCAAATTCTGCAACATAAGAATATTTATTGATTAACTTATCAATACTAAAGCTAGAATCATACAATGCATAATTTCATGCCTTCTTACATACATGCTGACTGGTAGTTCAGTTCACTATATAAATCACTATTGTGTATTGGAAGATCTATGCAGTAAGCTCAGCTATTAGCCAACATATCAAAAGACATGAAATTGTGTATCTAACTTAACATTTGATAGTTTTATATTATATTATTAGACCAGAGAAAAAACTTTTGATACATAGAACATGGCTAATATTTCTCTATGACATTGTTCATTTTACAGAATCCACATCAAGTAATGTATCATTTATGTTATATTTTATATATACTCTATCTCTAAAAACATGACTTTGTTTAAAAAAAATAGTCATACATGATTTATGGCAAAAAATAGAGAGACATATAGCATGTATAAATTTATAAAATTGGGATATACATATATTTTAAACTGCTCCGAAATATATATGTTCTAATAAATTACACAATATATATATATATATATATATATATATATATATATATATATATATATATATATATATATATATAACATAGAAAGAGAATCACATCCTCCATGATAACAAAAGGTAAGACATAATCCTTGTGATATATCTTAGAAACAAAAATTGGTAGAAATATAGATCATAATTTAATATTTGAGAAGAATGACAATGACATAAATGCTATAATAGACGATATCTAACAGCAAAAGCTACGATTTTTCTGCAGAATAGAAAGATTTCTTCACCTAGCATATCTTCGAACATATTTTGCGTGAGATATTAAGATGAGCACACGTTTCGTTTCACAAGTACTCGAACCATAGAAAACACTGAATTCGACTGAATGTCGTACCGATATGTTAACAGGTGTACTGATTATTGGAACACCGAACGACCGTTGATCCCACAGTTTCGAGGTTATGTGCATTCGCCGTGCACGTATACAAGCCACGACGTAAACAAAATTCTCGCGTAACGATGTTCACGAGGGGCTTTCAGGAGTGAAAATGTCGCGGTGGGACGAAGAGCAAGCGGTATTGTCATGTTCGAACATTACCTCGAGATATGCATAAGCACCGCAGGGCCCGTGGCACTCAAAATATCAATAAAGCAAATATATCCGATGAAGGTGCACAACACAGTAGATCGCTTCTTTAGGGATACACACGGGCAACCAGCCCCCAGCTCTTGATTTCGTGATATACTAAAAACGCGCGTATCGCCTACGACATAATTTGCGTGATTTTCTGTAAACACTTGGCATGGTAAGACGACTTGGACGTCAACGATGAAACGGTGGTGAAATCGCTCCTCGTAAGCGGTTAAGCGTGTCAAAGGACGCGACAGTGCAATCCGATCACCTGAAGTTGCCCGCGTACCGCCACGACTACGCGATGTGACGCGACGAATTTGATTGGTGGACGCCATGTCGTGTTCTTACTACAGTGGACAAAAAAGTTGACGAGTGCCTTTTGTATGAGTTCCGGAATGAATTCCATTTATCCAATGAGAGAATTTTCAGCTTCCTCGAAATTAATTATAAACTTTTTCCCTTAGAGTTACATTCCAAAACTTTTTTAAAGAATTTTACTCGATATTCTGTAGTATATGTAATGTGAATTATAAGTTTAGGGAGTTTTAACAATAGGGAGTTTTTAAGGTGACAGTTCCCGAAAAGTGGAGGGGATAATGTTGGTATCAAGGAAAATCTCTACACGATATAATTTAAAGATCTGTTCTTTGTAATTGCACTAGAGATTCCCGATTCTGAATCGATTCGATTCTTTCCCCAAAAATAGGCTCGTGTTGTTTGCATTTTTCGCACTTTTCGTATTTAAAACCAGACAAAAGTATATTAGAATGTTTTGAAGAAGCAAAAGCAAGATAACTAACTCGATTGTTTCTTCCAAGCGTCTGATTAGGCGTCCATCTCTTTTTAAAAGCAAAAAGTATGAACATGCAAGCAGCTTGAACAACTCTTTTTCCCTAAATTTGTTAGGGAAAGAATCGAATCGATTAAGAATTGGGCATCTCTAAATTGCACTGATGAATTGGTGCAATAAATTAAAGTGAAGTAATTGTACGTTTTCTCACTCTAATCTTTTGCATTAGTTCAGCAGTGTAGTTACAAAAAACAGATCTTTAAATTATATCGTGTAGAAATTTTTCTTGGTACCAACATTATCCCTTTTACTTTTCAGGAAACTGTCGTCTAATCAACAGTTGGAATAGTAATAAGAAATAAGTAGTAAGCAAATTAACTATTTCCATTACCACGATTCAAGAATAATCGATTGTGATTGGTCTATTTACTTATATTACTGCTTATTTCTTATTACTAAGTGGGTGCGTTCCCACTTAGCGCGTCAAGCACGCGTCGTCCGAGTTAAGCCAATCAAATCGTCCCATTTTATTGTGTAACTTTACGCTGAATAAAATGAAACGATTTGATTGGCTTAACTCGGATGACGCACGCGTGACACGCTAAGTGAGAACTCAGCCTTAGGCTGAGTTCCCAATGACGTATATACATAGGCCGGTATTCATAGGGTGCTTTCTAATTGTAATATTTCTAGACACTTTCACGCACACGGCGACACAAGTTGTATTCCAATTGTCGTAATCGTCGACACAACACTACACATCCGTACTCAACTCGAGGGCTACTAGTCGGCTGTGTAAACTAGTGTTTCTAATGACAATTAAAGTTAATAATGGCTCCTGCACACAGGACGTGGTAATGCTTGCCGCGCGGCGGAAGTTTGAGCGACAGCCAATCAATATGCTGCTTTCCGTAATAACCTTTTAGCTCTTACGGAAAAACAACATATTGATTGGGTGTTGCGCGGACTTCCGCCGCGTGGCAAGCATTACGCGTCCTGTGTGCAGGAGCCATAAGCGTAGCGGCTTGAAAAGAAACTGGCATTTATGACGTGAAGTGAATAATATCTTTTTTATTATTTAAATTTTATTATTTATTATTAAAAAATACCAAAATATAAGCACAGTTGAAAAATAATCCTAACCCTACCCGACATACGTACACATTAGTACACACTTTGTTCCAATTGAATCGTGCACAACGTTACACTTTGTGCATTTCTGTATATATATATGTCAAGATGTGTTAAGCAATTGATGTCAAGATGTGTTAAGCAAAAAACCCTATAGCACTTCAAGGCTGCGTTCGGAAACACACTATGGCTTGGTTTATATCGTGCACTTGATACGCGTACTAAATAGTAACTATCTAATAGTTTCTATTAGATAATCTTAATATCAAAGATATATATATATAAACAATGGTATATTAAGGTGGTATAATATCATCAACAAAACATATTGTATTGATTGAATGTATCGTCGTTGATATGCATTGACGATATTAAGATTATCTAATAGAAAGTTACTATTTAGTACGCGTATCAAGTGCACGATATAAATTAGGTCTATAGGTTTGTTCGCATCGCATGCCCCAACGTGCTCCTACTCGCTCCAACGTACTCTGATTGGTCCACGTGGTGACGTAGCCAATCAGAGTGCGTTGGAGCGAGTAGGAGCACGTTGGGGCATGCGACGTGAAAAAACCTTATGTGCACACTACTAGATGATAGCCGTTGGAGTGAACGAAATACAAGAGTGAGATAAAAAGAGAGGGAGAGTACTCGAGTGACGTTTCCGAACGCAGCTTCAGTAATCCGATTAGCCTAGGGAATTTTCTCTCTAGACAATTTACATTACTGCGATTAATCCGATTGGAAATCTAATTGCTACACGTAAATACCTTATAGGCCTGATTTACATCGTGCACTTGATACGCGTACTAAATAGTAACTTTCTATTAGATAATCTTAATATAGACGATATATATAAACAACAGTATATTAAACTGGTATAATACTCATCAAGAAAACGTATTGTATTGATTAAACGCGTCGCCGTTGATATGCATTGTTAATATTAAGATTATCTAATAGAAAGTTATTGACTTGGTTTACATCGTGCATTTGATACGCGTACTAAATAGTAACTTTTTATTAGATAATCTTAATTTCGACAATGCATATTGACGACGATGCATTCAATCAATACAATACGTTTTGTTGATGAGTATTATACCAACTTAATATACCGTTGTTCATATATATCATCGGTATTAAGATTATCTAATAGAAAGTTACTATTTAATACATATATCAAGTGCACGATGTAAACCAAGCCATTATTTAGTATGCGTATCAAGTACACGATGTAAACCAGGCCGCAGTATATGTTACATATATTATAGCACTTCTAGTAATAGAATACATCCGGATGGGAAATCTGAACGCAGCCTTAAATGCATACCAACAGTTGTTGAATTGCCCTAACCGGAAATACTCTTCTACTCTATATTCTTTCCAATCTGCACGTGGATAGCTTTCGTACGGACTGGTTCAGCGCTGGTCAGTTTTACTTGATATAAATTGATCATCTCGACCAGGACGACAATTTATCATGGTAAATAGATAATTTAATAATAACGAATGTTTGAGACAATTATTATTTCCTCGTAGTAACCGTGTATTTGTATATATTTGTGAACTCACACTTTGATCACTAGATAGGTTAGATATCGGAGTCAAGTAGGACGCGATCAATGTTAATATAAAAATATTCCATAAAAAATTATGGTAATACTTTTCGTATTTCTCAGGCGAGTACTAAGGTCGATAATCCTGAGAAACCAGGGCAGGAAGTCGCCCCGATTCATCGAATTAGAATTACGCTCACGTCTCGTAATGTTCGTTCCCTCGAAAAAGGTAACATAGATCTGAAAATATTTCTATTATTATATATATTATTATATTACACTTATATGCTTTTATATATACTATCCCACACAGCAGAGGTATCCAAAATATATCATAGAGACATCCTAAAGATATATTTGAGATATGTGATATCTTCAAGATATCCCTATGATGTATTTGAGACATTCCTGCTGTGTGGGATTATTCTATTACATATTAGCACTCGTTAGCACTCGTCTGCAAGCTAATATTTTATTCATTAGTTTTGCTTAAAAATATAATAAGTATCTTAATATTTTCGTTTCTTTCGTTTTAGTATGCTCAGAGTTGATCAATGGGGCCAAAAAGCAAAAGCTGAAGGTTAAAGGACCTGTTCGAATGCCCACCAAAGTTCTGCGAATAACAACTCGCAAAACACCTTGCGGTGAAGGTTCGAAGACATGGGATCGATTTCAGATGCGAATTCACAAGAGAGTGATTGATTTATATTCGCCATCAGAGATTGTGAAACAAATCACAAGCATTTCTATTGAACCTGGTGTAGAGGTAGAGGTGACGATCGCTAATGAATAGATAATTTTTATTGAAACTGTAAAAATGTTTTAATAAAAACATGAAAAATTGAACCCATTAATAGTTTTCATTAAAATAAACCAAAAGCAGTTTTAATAGTTTTATAATTTAAGAATTTCTATTATCAGCTATATTCATGACTTGCATTTTTCAAAAATTTATATACATACTGGACTGACAAACTAATTTAAAATAACGTTTGGAATTTCTCATATCAGGAGCACAAAACATGCTCTTGTGTCATTATTTATTATATATCAAATTGGTAAAAAATGTCAAATCTAGGAAAATTACAATAAATTTTCAATTTTTTCCTATGTTTATACTGGATATTAGCAATGCCGCGATAACAAGATTTATCGAAGTCGTAAATAGTTGATAAATAAAACCATGCAAATATCTAGCTATTAATTAAATTTATATTTTATTTATATATATATATATATATATATATATATATTTATATGTATATATATATGTATGGATTTTTAGTTTTCTTCTTGTGACGCGTCTCTGAATTTGTCGTTTTGCTCAGTTCCTTCACCGCCGCTAAAATCGCCATCCATTCCTTCTACTTCCTCCTCATCATCATCACCAGCAACTTCTGCATTTTCTAGTTCTGCTCGTTCCATTTGTCGCGCCAATTCTGCCTCATCCGTAGCAGTGACCACTTTTGGCTAAAGCATTAAAAGAAAGAAATTAATTCTTGTCCGGCACACGAATCGGACAAACATATTTATTTATAATATTTACAGCCATTTGAACGTTGAATACACCTCCGAGTGACGTGATTTTATCTCGGATTACCTCGATCGCGTCATTTAATGCCTTCAGACCATCTTGTTTTTCTGGTGTAGATGTTGTCATAACTAGAGATACGATAAAACAGAACATTGTGGTGTATAATAAAATACACGCAAAAAATATGATATAATCCATACCATACAAGGGAGGAGCAATCAAATTAATTTTGATAGGAAGTTCTTCAGTGGAAAGTGCTAAGCCAGACTTCAATGCAGCCTTAACAGCATCGATTCCCTCGTAACCATAACACGCCACTTCTACATCAGCTCTGATCTTCACTGCTTGGGAAGTAAGTTTCCGTTTGATATTATTTAACAATACTTCCTTTGTGTGCTCATCAAGACCACATTCTGCTAAAATCGAGGGATCCCTAAAATCAAATAGATACAGAAATATACTTGTGCAGGTATATATTTAATTAACATAATCATTTCTGTGAATATTTTACATTATGCAGTCTTAAGTTTTGCTTACAAAACTGATTGCTTGAAGAAATCATAAGCAGATGCTTTCTGTTTCTTATATTTTTCCTCAAAATACCAGGCAGTTTTCTGATATAGTTCCTCTAGTTGATCATCACTGTCATAGTGTAACAATTCCGCAACGTGTCTTAAAATTGAATTAACAGCTTTAGCCTTAGCATATCTTTCTGTGCATTTTTCCACATCCTCAGCAGATACACGACGTTTGCTTAGATCAATATAACCTGAAACCCATAATTTAAATATAAATAAGTTGAAAATGTTACACAGATCTATAAAATACTTGTATATTACCTTTCTCTTTGTCTACACGAATAACTACAACTGGTTCAGTTTTGCCTACTCTGATAAGTTTATTGATAGACCTAATACGTCTCCTGGACAATTCAGAGAGCAATATCATGCCCTCAATGTTGTTATACTCCAATAGATGCACATAAGCACCCATTTCAGCTATACTGCGTACGTTCACCATCACCACATCTTCCACTTCAGGATATTTCTCCTTGTAAAATCGACACGACAGCACCATATTTGCTGAGACACACAAACACCTTATGTTAACATATCTGGATATGCAGTGTAAGCAATGGAAGTGTAATACTATGAAAGTGTAATATAGAAAATATATAAAATGTTAATTAGAAATATATCGATGCTAATTACGAAAGATAGGAAAAGTCGTTTTCCTAAAATATTTACGAGTATAAGTAAAAAACTAATAGGTTAACTCACTAGATTAATATTTTAAAAGGAGACAGTGAGTATTCTCACGATAATCAACTAAATAAGTATAATCGCGTAACGACTAAGTTTCCTCTTTATTTTATGCCGATTAAGTGTATTCAAAAACGTAAAAACCCGCACGTGGTTTGTGAACCACGGGCGAATTTGTCTTTGTTTTAACCAACGAACCGGTTGATAGTAACTAAAAAGACTACGAAAGGCTGCGTTCCAAAACTTTACTCGACGGGTAGAATATCATTGACCAATAAGAACAAAGATAACTAGGATTTCTTTATCATAATTGGTCAATTAATGCCCGTATTTATAGTTAGGCCTTATATTTAAGGCTTCCTCGAGTTTATTTTCAGATGCTCTGTAGCCTATAAAATGATCCGTAAAGCATCTAAAAATGAACTTAAAGAAGCCTTAAATATAAGGCCTGATTATAAATACGGGCATTAATGTACTCTACCCACCGAGTAGAATTTTGGAACGCAATCAAGGATGTTCAACTACGTGTTTACCATTGGCTGCGTTCAGCAGAGAAAGCTGCTTTGCAACTGTTGTAAAATTCGTGAATCTGATTGGTCACATACTCTTGTATTCAACTCAAATTAAGAGCATACTCCAATCAGATTGACGAATTTTACAACAGTTGCAAAGCAGCTTTCTCTGCTAAACGCAGCCATTACCAACTTATGGCTTTCGCAGTGCAATGCGCGATGCGACACACGATATGCGATGAGCGATATCCAATGAGCGTATTGGTATTCCGGAAAAGCTGTATGGGGGTGTATATCAGTTGGACACGGGGTAATTGAACACAGTCCAATCACAAGTCGCTGTTCCAAGGGACCCTACAAATGTCTCTAATCACACGGTGCTGTGATTGGCTGTGTCTAAATGCACCGTGTCCAAGTGCACCGCTCCCGCTGTATGCTCATTGGATATCGCGCATCGTATATCGCGTGTCGCGTCGCAAATCGCGCTGGCTACGAGAGCCATTATGGCTTCTGCACACAGGACGCGGTAATGCTTGCCGCGCGGCGAAAGTTCGCGCGACAGCCAATCAATATGCTGTTTTCCGTAATAACCTTCTAGCTCCTACGGAAAACAACATATTGATTGGCTGTCACGCAGCTTCCGCCGCGCGGCAAGCATTACCGCGTCCTGTGTGCAGGAGCCATTAGGCTGCGAAAAGTCATAGATCACGAACACCTAGATACAAATATGTCCGGACATTAAAATAAAAAAAAAAAAGCATTAATATTTCAACAAATTTTTACACTGAATCGTTTGTATTTTGTCTGAAGAGGATTGAAGTGCGTTTGAAAAAGTTTGTAAGTCCACAGATTTATTTTAATTAATTATTTTTAAAGCATGAAGTTAATCGAAAAGTCATAGATCATGAACATACAAATATGTCCGGACATTAAAATTAAAAAAAAAAGCATTAATATTTCAACAAATTTTTACACTGAATTGTTTGTCTGAAGAGAATTGAAGTGCGTTTGAAAAGGTTTGGGAAAGTCCACAGAATTATAATAATTATTTTTTAGACCATGAGTTAGCTGGATGATCATAGATTTTGAATATCTAGATACGAATATGTCCAGACATCGAAAGTGAAAAAAAGCATTAATATTTTAACAATTTTTATATTAAATTGTTTATATTTTGTATGAAGAGGATTAAAATGCGTTTGAAAATGTTTGTAAGGAAGGCCAATAGGCTTACGGAATAGGCTTGCTGAAGCCATATATTGAAAGAAAAAAAATAATAAACTCATAAAAAATAAAAACTTTCGAATGTTCTCAAGTCAAACTTTTCACTAGTTTATGGTAAAAAACTAAAATTCAAAACTAAATATTTGCAAGTGCAATAGATAGTGTAACATCACATAACAAAAATGAATAAATTTAATCACTGTTGATTACAAAACTCAAACTGTTCTTTTATTAATTTAATATTGTATATAATGCACATTTATTTCTAACCTTACGTCTAATTTTTTGACGCGCGTAAAATACAGCTGTCAATTTGTCAGACGTAGCTACGAGTCATGTGATACATATTTCTTGATTGTAAAATAAATTTAAATCACAAATAGAACATTTACAGAGGAAAATTACAAATTGTTACGGAGCATTGAAAGGATAACGAAAAATAGAAAAACGCATCAATATTTCAACGCACGCAGATTTTAAAACATAATATGTATATACATAATTTAAAACTTATGTACATACATAACTTAAATATAGTTTCATCACTTTTTACTTCTGAATTTTATACAAGTATATTTTTCTTCTGTATATTTCTATACTTGTATGAAGAATTTTGTATTTTGATATTTTTCTCAATTATGGATTTAAAAAGGGATTAAAAGGAAGACAAAAGTAGTAAAGTAGTTAATTCTCTCTTCTTGTATCGACATTTTTTTACTTTGAGGGAAAAGGGTGATCGTCTTTAAATTTATTTATTTTTTGTTTTTCGCCAACTAGAAAGAGATTAAGAGGAAACGATAATTTTCATAAAAGAAAACTATATTGCACTAGTCAAACAAGTTGATTTCATCATTCACACATTAAAAAAAATCCAACTGTTACATCTCCCAATATATCATTATCTCAATTTCTTGACGGATTATCTCTTTCGTGACAGTTAGAAATAATTGGACAAAATCGATGCCTGATCGTTCAATAATAAACACTTCATTGAAAAATAGGTGCTGTTGCATCAAACATGAATATCTATAAATCTAAAAATAGAAATCCACTCATGTATAAACAATGATATTCTATTTTACATATCAAATGATATTTTGCATATCAAATTTTATCTTATATGCAAATTAAATCTTTATATATGCTTTATGAGTAAAATATTTTTTGTTAAAATTTTGTATATTTCAGAGTTAGTATATATATTTCACTTGTCACAATATAGATTTTTTCATTAGAATTAATGTACCATGTTAAATTATTTTTTCTTAACAATTTTTTTACATATTTTACTATTGTCGTAATATTTTCACAGAACAAATTTATTTGGAATTGTACAATTTGGTTTTAAAAATCAATTAAAGCAAAATGATAAAATATATATTGCACATACAAATTTTATAAGTTGGACTTATAAAATAATGATATGTACAATAGTATATATATATCAAATAATTATCATAAAAAAGTACATAATATAATAAACATTATTAGAAAAAAACAAATAACGGAAGTTCAATGATACGAAAATATATATTGATTGCAATAGGATTTGTTTTATATTGAATACTAAAAAGAATTTAAAGAGAATTGCAAAAATATAATTATTAATACTCTGAATCTTATAGATATGATCTTATAGATCTGAATATCTCTCAGAAATCTTAAAGATGTACAAATGATTTTAATAGGTACTCAAATGTCCAATCAAATAGAAAATTTAAACTTTTATTTTAATCTAATTTAAATTTTTAATTAATTCAATAAATTTTATACTAAAAAATGCGCGTTAGCTCTTATTCGTCGTTTTCTAATTTATTTAAATATGTAATAACAACAGCATCTATTTTTAAATATCCATGTAATTAACCGTAATTCAATTTGTATTTTTCCTAAAAACTGGTAGTTTCAAACGAGATCCAAGAAGACTTTCGTGTATCACGTTACGCATCCCGTCAGTCATAGATTCTTAGAAAGGGTTTCAGAATCTCTTGTAGACTAGGCCTCGCATAAAGTACAAGTCATGACCCGATATTGGGTATCCCAATTTTACACAATTATGCTCGATTACACCCTACCTTCTCTTTCTTAATTCTTTCTTGAAATAAGCCGTACTTAGCTCACGAATTAAGATTTTCTTGTTTTCTTGGGATCCGTAGATGATTCCCGTTTACTGAGCCCGGTTTCTAAAACAGGGAGAAAATGTTAATCCGATCTTATCACTTCTTATTATTTCGTGTCTTACCTTATATACTGTGTATATGTTTATTACTCACCATTCACTATGGCAGTCACATCTTCCGCATCCAACGTTTCGTATTGCAACAAAGCTTCCGCTAATCGTTTGTGTTCTTTCGCATGGCTTATTAGAATTGTTTTCGCTCGTTCATACGATTCCTAGAAGAAGAGTGGTAGAAAGACGAGTCAACTAATTATAACAATAATTCACTGATAAGTTCAGTACAATACAATTAATAAGGATTAATTAAAATACAGTTAAAATATAGTTAATAGATTTGATTTAAAGAGATACACATTATGAAAGGAAGAGAAATATTATAAAAAAGAGAATAAATTTTCAATAAGATGTTTTCAACTGTGAATTGTATAAAATTAAAAAAGAAAAAATTTTTCCTCACAAATTAATAAATTATATCTTGCTTTTAATGTAAGAGCGTTAAATTTACCTGCAAAAGCCGCTTCACTTCGTTGTCAATAATTTCGTTCGTGCTGGGCGCATACGAGTTATCGTTACTGAACAATGTCTTATTTTCTGCCATAAATCTAAATCCAACCTTCTCTGACATCCCGTAAGTCTTCACCATCATTTCCGCAATACTCGTCGCTTTCTGTAAAAAAAATATTCAAATTTTCATGCAATTTCGATATTTCTATAAGAAAACAACTCTTAAACAAATAATATAATACAATTGAAAAAACTATGTTATAAAATAGAATTCAAAAATGAATAACGTACAGCAAAATCGGAAGAAGCTCCCGTCGTTACTTTCTCCGTTCCGAATATCAACTCCTCTGCAGCTCTGCCACTCATCATCACGTCCATTTTAGCTAGCAACTGAGATTTCGTAACGTGATATTCATCCTTCTCAGACATCATGTAGGAAGTCTAAAAGGAATAAGAATGAAAAATTGGCAAATTAAAAATTATGTAATTAATTAATTACATAACTTGTCACAAAAATATACAAACCCGATTATATAATAGAATTACAAATATTTTCATAATAAATGTGATGATAATTATATGTAAAGCAAATTAATAACTAACATAACGTCACAAAATTACGAATAAACTATATTAAACTACATACATGACCCAATGAGGATGCTCGTGGCACGATGGTGACTTTGTGAAGTGGTGGAGCATCCGTGGTGAAAAACGTTACTAGAGCATGCCCCGCTTCATGGTATGCCGTGATACGGTTGACTTCTTCATCGCGGTATTTTAGCTTGCCTTCAGGACCCATCAACACCTTGTCTCTAGCGTACTCTAGATGTTTCATAGTTACACAGTCCGCTTCATCGATTGCTGCGCGTAATGCAGCTTGATTTATCTGCAATGTATTTATACATTACATAAAATCTTCATTATATATTGTATCAAGACGAGACATTGCACAAGATAACGTAATATTTTTATCTTACGTTTAAATAATTACCATGTTTTCAAGATCAGCTCCTGTGAAACCTGTGGTGCAACGTGCTAGGTAAACGGTATCGATCTCGTGTGTTAATATCTTGGACAGGTAAAGATCCAATATTTCTTTGCGCCCCAAGTAATCAGGCTTGTTAACGTAAATCTCAACGTCGAAGCGACCAGGACGCATCAGTGCCTTGTCGAGATCTTTACGTCTATTCGTGGCACCGAGAACTATAACACCTTCGTTTTGGCGAAAACTTACAAACGGAAAATTATAAAACGTTATAATTAGTTAAAAAAGTAACATTCAAAGAATGACTATTAAATGATCATAAAAAAGCGTGTATAAACTCTCACCCATCCATTTCGGAAAGCAACTGGTTGATCGTTTGATTTGCGTAAGGATGAAGAACAGAATTTGTTCTTTTTGCACCCACAGAGTCAATCTCGTCGATAAACACCACACATGGCGCCTTTTCTTTTGCCGCTCCTATGGAAATATGTATACGATACTGACGTGATTTATAATAATTTTCGGGTCGTAAATTACTTAAAAGAAGAAAAATCACTCGCACGATATTAGTCACGATCTCGTAATCTCGATTTCAATAAAAATGATTGTATTCGCTACTTACTGAATAAATCCCGGACACGTCGGGCACCCTGACCGACCAGGATTTCGTCGAATTCAGGACCTGCCACATGGAAGAATGGTACACTAGCTTCTCCAGCAACTGCACGCGCTAACAGTGTCTTTCCTGTTCCTGGTGGACCTACTAACAATACTCCCTTTGGCAACTTCCCGCCCAGAGCGGAAAATTTTCCGGGGTTTTTCAAGAATTCCACGACATTCAGAAGTTCCTGTTTCGCCTCGTCCACCTATAATATTTTTTTGCTTACTCATTGCTGCTTTCATACTTTTTATGTACTGCCAATCACATAAAAAATATGTTTTCTCATAAAAAAGTAATCTATCTTGATAAAACACATGAAATGAATAAAATATGTATTGCTTACCCCTTTAACGTCGTCGAAAGTGACACTGATATCTTCAGGATCGATTTCAATTCTGTGGCTCATAGGAAGCTTGAACATTCCACCTCCTGGGTAACTAACTATGACACAAATAATTATCATAATTGCAGATAATAAGATGATTAACACGAAAAGGTTTCAGTATAGCGTGAGCTTTATATAAAAGTTCTGTTTTATACGTACGATAAAGCCAGAGTACAAGGATAACCGCGGATGCGGTTATCATATTTTGCAAAATTTTTAGCCACATTGTTCGACCTCGCACCTGACGTTGCAATCCGGACTCATAGCCTTCTACAAAGGCGATCTTTATCCTCTTCTGTTCGTCCGCTGTTACCTCGGCATTGTTGAGGATCTGTTTCAATCTTTCATAATCAGAAATCTTCGGTTCGTGCATCAGACCCTATACATATAAATATAGTATCTATTAGAATAGAATTTATCTCAAGTTTCTTTCTATAATCATATTCTAATAAAACACTTATTGTACTTTTATTTGGATCTAGAAATTCAGAATAAAATGTATATTGTACCACATGAAGATTAGAAGATAGACCAAGCCATTTCTTTATCCTGCTCATAACAGTTGGATTTCGATCCAGTTCCATCTTTATATTGCGCTGGGATTTGAATTTACGAATTTGCATAACATTATTGTATGGCGTTTTGGCATACCATGTGTGCAACAGTCTACATTGTTTTGATGTTAAGTGCATAACAGGTAAGACAATGGACTCCTTTAGTGAATGGTGTGGAAAACCCCGTTTGTTTTCGGTGAAGTTTAGACCAGATAAGTAAGACATTCTCCATTTGTTGTTCTCTTTGGAAGGTTTTCTAAATGAACTAAGAGCTACATTATCCAGTGTTATGCACACCTTATTCTTCTTCATTCTTAATGGAGTTAAAACAGTTAATGGAATTATTTCTTGTAGCTGTGAACAATTCCTTGCAGCCTAAAATAAATAATACATACATTTAAGTACGTATATGAGAATTAATATGAAATATAGATTGATATTGTTATACTTGTCAAATCAAATTAGAAATAAAACCATAAATCTTGAAATAATTGTTAATTGTCAAAAATAATTGTTTTCTAATATATTTTTTTCTATTTAAAAAGCTTCCCAATGCTGTGTTCAGAAATTCTGAATTGCTAATTTTATATAGAACTCAACAGATGATAAACAATTCACACAAGTTCAATAGATGTTATTTGTAGAATACTTTAGTTAAAACTCAACTTATGGATAAAATATTTCTCAACTTCTTATTATAATTTCTATATCTCATTACATTAAAAGATATAATTTAGAAAAAAATCTAGAAGTATGGTGCAGTTTCTTATAAACCTATGGTTGTCATATGTTTAAAGTTTATTTTATAGAGATTATACCTCCTCAAGGCTATCTGGGCAAATATCATCCATAGTTTTGTATTCATCCTGTTTCTTAACTTGGGTCGAATATAATGTTGTTCTAGGAGTTGCTCCAAATGCCAGCTGCGTCAGATGGTATAACACCTAAAAGTTCAAAGTCATCTAAGCACTTGAATCACCAGGAATCAGAATCGTTTGCACGATTCTTTCTGAGTTCAGTGAAAGTAGAAAATAGGTCAAACGTTAAGTGTTAATGATCAATAGAGATACTTTTATACTTTCTCAAGGACAGAGTAAAATATATGCATATTGTTTAAAAGATATGTGCAAGATATTAGTGTGAGAGGTTGCTGATGCAACTGTGATATGTCGTAAGACTGTAACAAACCTGATTGTGAGATTGAAGAGTTATCATAATTTCGAGCTCTACGACGAAATAGCTGATGTTTAACGAAAATTACAAACGATCACGAAAATTAATCGAATGAAACTGACGCGCCCCGTAAAAACGATCGACTGTCTATCGATCCTCTGGATCACTCCACGCAGATTTTCAGTCGCAAATTAGCTGGCTAGGTCCGACAAATTTGCGCGGCTGCAGTCAAATAATCGATCACTTGTTAATTTATCAAGACATCGAACGATTTTTTAATCTACAACAGCCAACTGTGTTTTGAACGTGGAGCCAATTGATGGTTAGCCATCTGAAAGGCACAAAATGTTAATTTGAGATAGATTCATCCATGTGCTATTTCACACACATGTCAGCAATGCGATTATAGTGCCATCTTGTGCAACAATTAGGGACTTTATCAGCGATCTCGCATCGGTACACTCGCGTGTAGAAAGTGCCAGTGAACGCACGCTCCTAACTAGGTGACGAAACGTCCACTCGGCGTCGCTGTCTAAAGAAGTGCAGCCATAAACCTGTGGTCGTCGTGTGTCGAGTGTGATGTTTGTGTGGTAGGTTACGTTGCGCTCTCTTGGGCGAAATGACGTTTTGTCGCTTGTAAATATCGCTCGCGCGCGAACGAGTAGCGAGAGCCGTCGCGGCTCCGACCCGTTGGCAATCCCCGAAACATCGCGAACGATTCCCACGCGAGTCCTCCGCGTAGTACGCGTTAATTTAGCCGCGCGCAGCAGCGAAATTGTCGTATTCCACGCGCCGCGCGACCGAGCGCGCGGTGGTTGAGGTTATGATGAGTGAGTCAAGTTGAGGTCGCGACGTGTTGTGTAGCTCTCTTGCGCATCGCGCACCTGATGTTTACCGTCGGACTGTCGTTCTCCCGACGCAGCGAAGGTAAATCGCGACTACCTACTTACGGTGTCGGCATCGACGTGGCGCTGCCTCGCACGCGTCCCGAGACCGCGACGTCGTCGTCGTCGCCGTCGTCGCCACCGCCGCCACCACCGCACGATCCCGTGGACTTCGCGTATCCTAACCTCTTTCTTCTCATTCGCTGTCACTTGATTGTGTTGTTGTCCCTCGTGCTTGTTTTGCCTGCAACCTGCCTGCGATCTACATACAGGTATTTCCGCGCATTTTTCTCTTTCTTTTTCTTTCTCTCGTTGTACTTGAGCTCTACGTCTCCTCGCATTCTCTCCGCGAACCGGCGATAAGTAATGCCGTGTGGATGCCAATTGACTGCGGGATCGCGGTGGTTTGCGTCTTGCTTGTTTATCACTCCTTTCCGCCGATGCATTCTTCGGAACACGTCGATTTTAGATGAGATAGGCAATATATTAGCCTCATCAAGCACGGCGGAATTCCTTTTAGACCTCCTTTTTTCATGAAAGTTCGCGTAAAAATTGTAGATTGTTATGGCGATAGATATTCGTGTTAATGTAATACGATTGCGAAGTATTTGTCAGTAGTGTTGTAATTGTTTAATTGCCTGTCTGTCTTGGAAGTACAATAAATCAGTTTGAATGAAATGTTTTTCTTGTTGTTCCTTGGCATATTTTAGAATGTGTGAAAAGCATCACTGCTTGATGAGATAACTGTGTGTGTGTGTGTATATTTTGTAACGGTATTGGGAAAAATATGGTGTGGTGTGTGCTGCAGTCCAATATTCTCAATATTTTTAACATTCTCTTCTTACATTGTAATGTGTAAAAGTTATATAAATTTAAATTCAGGTTTTTAATACTGTAATCAGAATGTTTATAAATACTCTGTGTATATGAATCTTCATAAATTTGAAGCACATATGTTTACAAGTAACTCAATTTACACATCACAGATTTGTAATAATGTAAAATGTTAATTGCAAAATTAAAATGCAAATAGTTAATAATATTAAAGTAATGTATAAAATTTTAGTTCATACAAATGTAAAATATGGTTGATAAACATAAATTAATTTGTATGTGCATATATATATCTTATTTAAAACTAAATTTGTTTTAACTTCATTTATTTGGTTTCTTTTTTTTTTCTTTTTCTTTATCTCTTTTTAAAACTCATGTATGTGTGTGTGTGTGTGTACATATATATATTTTCTTGTTTTAAATATAAAAGATAACTAAAACAAAAATATGAGTAAACACTCATATTATCTATAGGTGTTTGCATTAAGATATATCTATCTTTTCTATCAATTCTGTTAATTATAATAATATATAATCATATTTAATTCCATTATTATTTAGTAGCCATAAATATAATATAAAAAAATTTTTAATTTAATTTTTTTTAATACAATTATTACAAATAGCTTGTTATTAAATAATGCAATATTATATATTGTTATCAACAATCCATTGCTGTTTACATAAACATGTAGTATATATGAAGGGATGTATTTCAGAATATGAACGATTATTACCGCATCAGATATGACATTAATTGGCATCAGTAATCAGAAACTACAATGAGTGGTTTAACCCTTTGTCTAGAAGATGCGTATCAGCAGGCTCAGGTGTGTAAAAAAACAACTTTTACAAGTTATATCACGATATGGATATTATCAAATTTTATTATTAGGAGCACTTATGAAATACCTGTTTGTCATGTCATTCACATAGGATATGATTAATCAAGCACCTAGATATTGGCTGAAGAATGTTCAGGGTCAGAATTCGTTGGCCTTAACATCTGATAAGTCTCTGTCTTCTCAGAAAAAGGAACAGTGTCACTCTAGGCACAGTATTCATGCCAAACTCACGAGACTCTATTTCGAAGAGCTTGCTAAAGTTCCTCATGCAACCCCAGATTCAGTTTTGGTAGGTCTATCTTTGAAGAATAAGTTAGTTAAAAATTTTTATATTCTTTGAAATGAAAAAGGAATAATTTGCAAATGTATCGTGTATTTTTGTATGCGAGTGTAAAAGTCCTTGCACAGTGCCAGACTACAGGCAATAGAGGTAGACATTAGCCAATAAAAACAGGGAATAGAAATAATTGACTAATCCGAATTTCTATTCCCTGTTCCTATTGCTTGTTGCCTGGCATTCTGAAAAGCCCTTTATTTCTATTGTATTAATTTTTCACTTTAAATGCCATGCAGAACAATCTTGAGAATGAGTGCGACCTTTTGGGATTGTTAGTGCGGAGAGAAGGGTTACACACGTTAATTGTTAATCTCTATGCTGGTAATAAAGGATACTCATTAGCTGTAAGGAATAGGTAAGAATTCATCTGCTTTTAGATGTGTGTGTGTATGTTTCAAATTGTTTTTTTTTTCAATATTCGAATATGTTAAATAGCATTAAACCTGGTGCTAATGATAAATTATTATAATAATTAAGTTATATCATGACAATTGAGTTACCAGAAAAAATTGTGTGATAAGAGCTATATTATTGATTTAAATTTTTCATTCCTTGGTGGCAGCTTACTTTTAGTGTTAATACTGTAACATGAATATTCCCATGTCACAGAAATGCTTAGTATTAGGCTTGTAAAGTATTGAACGTTGTATCTGCCGGATTTAAAGTGTCTAACATTTACGTCAAGGCAGTAAAAAAAAGAGAAATTTATATTTTGCATGTTATTCCATTAACGATAATCCTAAGACGAGAATCGTATTGCAAATATAGAGATTAACGAAAGTTTTCTCCCTCGGCAGTGATAAGGGAAATCAATACGATAAAAATTCACTAGCTGAGACTCAGCTTATGGGTTACGAACAGGGTGAACTACTCTCATGCATAGACAATGGCCAGTTACCAGCTATGCTAGCGGAACAACTGGAATCCAATCACTCACATCTATTTTATGACGGTTGCATAGTAGCTGAAGTTCGAGATTATCGAAAAGCGTGTTCTTATAACAAATCTGATGTCCATCATAATAAAGCTGAGGTTCATCATAACAGAGCTGAAGTTCATCATGTACTTCTTAAACCAACGACACAGGTGAGATTCAGTGAAAAATAGCGAGATAAAAATTAGAATCGCGGAATGTTTCTGTTAAATAAATTTGGAAATGAAGAAGACATTATGAATTTTTCAATATATTTTCTTCATGCAGAAAAAATTTTTCGACTTTTATTTCAGGAAGATCAGTTTTATAAATTTATTTAAGATGCTATTAAAATGAAAAAATAATAAATTTTTCTATATCAATCTCATAAATCTTAAATAACATTATTTTGCTTATATCTTATTGTATATTGCCATGTTATCATTTATTGTATAGTTTTAGAATTTAGTCTGTATGAGTGTTTATATTATTTAATTTGATTGTAATTTAAATTAAATATTGTGTGATAATTATTGTTTATGTAGAGTATACTCTCGGACGTGTCAACACTTACAAGTGACGGAGATTGGAGCCATGAAGAACGATTAATATTGGAATCACATCTGTTGGCAGCTACCCAAGGACCTCTATGCTTGGATCCAAATCCTATTCCCACTTTAGCTAGTACAAGACTTAAACAGTCCAAATCGTTGTTTACAGACCCTCAACTCATACGACAAGCCAAAAAGTTTTCTCAGGTAAACTCTCCAATTCGAGGTTTATTCCCTTAAAAATCAATTTTGTTATTTATATATTTTATTAATGCTGTCTAGTATTTCAGAAACGATTGCAATAAAATGCAAAGTCTAGCTGCAAGAAATATTTTATATAATATAAATATTCTATATATATTTTCTCTCGATATAACTACTGTTTTTTCTTGAAGAAGGTATATATCGCTGTTTGTTGCATCTAGGCTTTCGGTCACAGCAATTTCAGAGACTTCATTTGGTCAATATATGTTATATTGTTGCACTGCTTGCTATGCATCACGTTTAATATGTGCAAGGACAACAGTAAATATCATAAAAAGTACTCTGTTGCTTGATATTAGGTCACGGTGAATCGAAAAAGAAAATTGGAACAGATGACACGATCTGAAGGACCGACGATACAAGACTTTATGCAGAAAATGCGTGCAAAAAGGGGGATGACAAGCACTGCCTGTGTAGCGCCTTCTCTTGCAAACCCTCCTCTGCTTCCACCAAATACTCCAGTTGAAGTTTTAAGGTTTTTATCAGAGCATGTTCTTTTCACAATATCTTGCATTATCTGCATGTTATCTGCGTTATCTTTATTGATTTTTATAATGATGTATTTAACTGCGTGACTAACTAGCAATGGATTAATTAGATTCGCGAAAGCATATGAACGGCCACGAGACTCAAAAGACTGTTCACCACAAGTTATAGAAGAATATATATTAGAGGCTCCAGGGAGTCAGGGTGAAATGGATCATATAAAGCTCTCAATTCTACAGAGACCTTCTACTTCTGAGTACCTGGGAGAGCTTTATATGGACAAGAATCATCGAGAAGGAGAAAAGAATGGTTCTTCTTGCCGGTGAGTTTTGATTATTAATTGGAGTGTTATTAATACTCTTATTAAAAAATTAGTCTGAATTTTGTTTTGAATAATCTAAGAGAACCTACAAAATAATTATGTGTGATATGTGTGTAATATATTATTTATATTTGTATTTAGCAAGAAAGGATTATATATATATATATATTTCAACAGTAATATTATTTTTCTATCTAGGTTTACCTTAGGTACCAGAGCCGTGGCCAATCATTATTACCAACAGTTTAAAGAAATATTTACGGAAGAAGGTAGAAAAAATGTGGTAATAAAGCATCTTGTACCTGGGCAAGTACCGCGTACATGCACTCCTGGTATGCAACGGGTACATCAACAGGTGTGTGGCCCGATTTTCTCCGCTTTTCTATTTCCCCTTATCTATTATTTATCTTATTTTACTTCATTTACTTCTATTCTTCCTTAGGTGCAAGTGAAAGCGGCGCAATTGGTGGCTCAACAATTGCAAACTCAGTCCCAACATGTAGCCCAGCAGGTTTGTAAATTTATCAGTTTATCATTTTTGCAAATTGTAGTCTTGCTCTAAAACAGAACACCTAAATATATTTTTTTAATTTGAAGATAATTTCTTAATTTAAAGATATAAAATGAAATGTAGGAACGATTTTTATCAATTACAAAATATAGGTAAATTTTATGCGTTATTTCAGATTCTGTCGCGGGCTCAAGGACAACTAAACACTTTGGCCGGTCAGGTAGCTTCGAAAGTTATGACGGAAGCCACCACTTCTGCACAAAACAACCTGCCGTATGTGGATACTGCGAATATACCGCAAATCACTTCTCAGAACGACACTACTGCATTAAGTTCAGGACAATCCCTGACTAATGGCGGTCCAAACGCGTCAACTTCCGTGCAAATTGATAATTCTTCATTAGCGGTGACGGATAACACTTGCAACGGCCCTGGTTTCTTGGTTTTTCAAAAGTCAGCCAATGCTATTAATAATGCAACATCTACCAGTGTTCCAGTCTTGGTAAGTTATTTTTGTATCTCATGATAGATGCTAAATTTATTCCTTGGCAGAGACGCTATAACTTTTAAAAATATATTAATTTATCGAAAATTTACAGCAGGCACAATTGCAAGCGGGAACACAAAATTGTATAAGTGAAACCGCCAATCAGAACCAGAATGAACCGCCATTCAAGAAGCATACAAATAATCCGGCGATAAGCGCTCTCGTCACTTCCCTCATGAATTCCGCGCAACAATTTCAGCAACAAGCTGCAGGTTTGCAAACCGTCTCGCAGCGTAAAGTTTATGCAAATAATTTAGAGGATAAATATTCCATCTGGTTGTATATACTAGCATGAAAACACATGCATATATAATTTTTAATTTTTACATTTTAAGAAACTTGAAACTACGTGATAATTATACAATTACTACATTAAAGTACACATTAAATCTATATTTATATGTATGTAGCTTAAGTATCTTTGCTTTTTCAAATTGGGGTTATTTTCATAATGTGCTGCTTAACAAAAACAAACATAGTTAAAAATTCTCTCATTGTTCTTATCTGTAATTTTAAATGTACGCCCGTAAATTTATAATTAATATTTTATTTTTTACCTATTTTACAGCCAACGCTGCAGCTGCAGCTATGAACAACAACAATGCGCAAACTTCAAACAAGTCCAGCAACGCCGCAATTCTTAGTTTATTAAATAGTACTCCTGCGAACTTAACTCCGCAGAAACTTCAACCCCGAAGGATCTCTCTTAATACTTCTATCCCACCCCGAGTTATTAGTCACGGCAATGTAATTAATGTGCCCAACACTACCGGCCAAGTACGTATTATATACAGGGTGAATATTATATACCGGAACACCTGAATATCTCGAAAACAAAGCGTTGTATAAAAAAATGTTAAATACAAAAGTTGTAGGGTTTAAAAAGATCTATTTTATGATATTAGCAGTTTGACCTTGAGTTGCGTCATAAAGATCAGGTCAAGGTCACAATGATGTTTTTAAATGGATACCCCCATTTTTTATTGTATATTCTTGTAGCTTATCTCGAGAGCTTTCCAAAACACTATACTTAAGTATTTTTTCGTTAAGTACTTTTCGAGTTAAGAGGCTTCAAAGTTACGCTCTTTAGCATTAGCGCGCGTGGATACCGTAGTGACGAGCACGAACGCGCGCTCGTATTAATAGTAAATAGCGTAAGGCTGATGGCCTAAAAAACGTAAACGCAAGGGCAGCTCTCGTTTACCGCGCTTGTGTTTACGTTTTTCTCTGCCTTAGCTTACCTTAATCGGCCGGATATGATTTTCCTCTTGCCTTAATCGGCCGCGCGCTAATGCTAAAGAGCGTAACTTTGAAGCCTCTTAACTCGAAAAGTACTTAACGAAAAAATACTTAAGTATAGTGTTTTGGAAAGCTCTCGAGATAAGCTACAAGAATATACAATAAAAAATGGGGGTATCCATTTAAAAACATCATTGTGACCTTGACCTGATCTTTATGACGCAACTCAAGGTCAAACTGCTAATATCATAAAATAGATCTTTTTAAACCCTACAACTTTTGTATTTAACATTTTTTTATACAACGCTTTGTTTTCGAGATATTCAGGTGTTCCGGTATATAATATTCACCCTGTATAGTGTATAGTGAATAAGACATGTTTAACTCTTGATTTGATATATTCTATAAAACTTATACAAGAGATCGAAATTTCATTCAATAAAACTTCATGTCAAACTCAAAATTTTATGTTAACATTATCAAACTAAGAGTTAATATGTTGATAATTTCTACTTGATTTATTTGGTTAATACCTTCAAGGTAGGATTAACTAACAAAAATTTTTATCTAAATTAATTGTTTATCTGACCATCGTTGTAGGTTCGAGTGAGCCTAAGCTCCGCTTTGTCGGGTCAGCTAAGTTCTAAGCAACAACATGTAAAAGCAACTGCGGTGAGACTTGCGCGAGTCCAAGATGTTCCCACATCAACACTTGGCTTATCAATGCCAGGACTCTCGGCTTTACTTGCTGGTATGATTACGAGGAAAAAAAACGTTAAGAAATAATTAAGAAAAAAAAACATTTATATTGTACGTACCACGATTCGTATTTCATGCGTATATGATTTCTTGAAATACAGGTACGCCGTCAGCAGATAATCCGATACCCGGGATGAATCCTAATTCGTCACTGCTCGAGCGGCTCACCGCTTCTTCCAGTCAGGGCAGTCAACCGGCGAGCCCGATGACTAGCCCATCACCAACAGGTAACGTGAATCTACAGGGCGTAAATCTTACTAGTCTGCCGAACTCTATCAACGGTCTGCAAAACGTTCAGGTTGGTTCTAGATATTTAAATTTGAATAACCAGGGCAATGTAGCAGAGTTGTCTAACTTGCGGTAACGTGACGCAAATGAGCAAACTTACAAAATCGTACAAAAAAACAATCTAACCGAAATGACCGCTCATATTTAGTTAGACGACTTTGCAAAAGAGATTGAGACATAATATGGTGTTCATTTCATATGACAGGTGTCGTTCCCTGGCTTGTCACAGCCTATCACGATGTCATTGAACGTGTCGGCGACGACTGGTGGCACCGTCACACCCACTGGAGTCATCGTCTCGTTGCCCATATCGTCCGCTACGAATACCTGCACGACAGTTTCGAGCGTTAGTATAACTATACTATTGATATACACAAATAACTATTATAAATGGTCTATTCAACTCAATTAATTTACGTTTGATTGATTTTTCTTATTTATTGCGAGCTGTAATTGCTGAGACAAAGTTGAAAAAGAACCTATCAATATTATATATGACTAAAAGAATAAAAGTTGTAGAACTAGAAAGAACTAACTAGAGCTGAAAGTAAGTTTGCACAATATAGCTGAAAGTAAATTTGCAGAAATATGTACTCATTCTTAATACAGTTTTTCTTGATGTTTTTAATTTTCGAACTAGTTATTTTTTTGCTTTTTATTATATGTGAATATTCTTGAAACCTCACGCAATTTTAGATGGTTCCTGCAACTGTCGTGACGACAGCGATTGCTGGAAGCACGCCAACAGTAGTGATCGCCAATCCTGCCAATGCTCACTTATCTTTACCGATTGGTAAGATATCCGAAATAGGTACGAAAATATTAAATAATACTTTAAGAATATTTTAACTGAACGGAAACGATATAGATATACTAATATACAGTATTATCAAAGAAAATAACACGACTAGTGACTTAAAATCAAATAGTAGTTTAACTTTCTCAGAATTCCAGCAAATATTTGATAATAGCTCTTTTTAATATAAGAAATATTATCCGATATGTCCTCCAATATGTAACATATATTGTAATATGTTGTTTTTGTTGAATACTTATTTTGTTGTTATGCGATAATTCAAATATTTTATGGAGTATGTTGTGTACGCTTTAGCCCACGCCCAAATAATAGCTTCCGGAGTAAAAGGATTATCACAACAAAACATAAGAAATAATAATGCAGTGACTCTTGCACAGGTATTTATTCTTAATTATTAGAAATTTCGACGAATCACTATATATAGCACGTGAAATATTGTGCACTAATAGAATATATATAAAATTATATACAAAATTACCCTTGTAACGTTGTCCATTATTTTTTTCAGATTTCATGAGATGCAACCATAATGATAACGTTACATATTTTCAGGGAGGACAAGCAATCCAGCTCATTGGATCTCAAAGGCCGCGACTTAATAATATGCCTCGTCAAGTACAATCGAATCAAGTTAAGTCGGCTGTCTTATCGAATCAGTTGGTGACGGTTGCTAAGACAGTAACTGCAAGTCAGCTGATATTGTCTGGTAACAAACAAGTATTAGCTCCCATAATGGGTAAGTCTAAATCTCATTTCTAGTTAAATTTATGACGAGAGTATACTCTCTTCGAAGAGAGACACTCCAATAGCATTTCCTTATAGCATCTTCCTTATAGCATTTCTTAGTACTTATTAGTCGACAATATGTGTATATAATCTTGTATATGCTTGCAGCCGCGACGAAGCCCGTGCTTATGGCGTCACAGACGACGCCTTCTTCCCAAGTAGTACCTGTTAATAAACAAACTCTATTGACGAAATCTTTGCACGCTAGGGCTTCTACTGGTCAATGCAACCAGCAGACGCAAAGTCTCGGAGTAACTACCCTATCGCAACAACAAGTACGTATATATTACTGTATAAATACAGGAATTTCTTAAGTGGAATTATTTGTTGAGTAATATCTCTCTCATGAAATTAATAAAGTTAGAAGCCAAAATATCTTACAAATTTGTTTAATCGATTGCAAATGTTACTTTATGGATGTATATTTTTATTTCAATATATTTTGTAAGAATTTTTAGCATGCATTTTCTCGCTTCTGACGTCATTAAAAAGAGATAGACAATGCGAAGGGCCAGGAGCTTTAATTTAATTCTCGAGTCACGTTTCTTTTTTTCTTCTAATTTTTATTTTAATTTTTCTCTAATTTTATGCAGCTCCAGCAGTTGCAACAATGTCTGGCTGCGCAGCACAAGGTCGCCGTTGCGACGGGAAGTTCTCAAAGTAGGACTCACATTGAAGCTCAGAGAAATTCCACGTCTGCCCCTGGAGAAGATCCCGCCTGAATATGTTCAAAACAATGATAATGTTAACGATCATGTTACGGCAAAATAATTGGAACCCACCTAGAAGCAATGTAATGAGGCATTTGTACATTATGTTAAGATCAAATTTGTTTTTGCATGCGAAAAAGTTTAAATATGGATTGTCTCTATGCTACGCTGAATTACAAGAAAGTTTCACTTCTTATGGAATTCTGTTCTCTATACATAAAAGAAAAAAATACAAGATTTTAAAGAGAAAACAGTATGGTATATAATATTTATAATCATGTGCAATAAAAGCGTTTTTGTCACATGAATTTTCGCCTTGAAATGTTACTTTAGGGGAGGTTTCAATTATTGTATATATAACTTATACACATACGATACGATTTGTTTTATATTAAAAATATAATAAATATTCCAATTTTTTATTGATCTTTACCCCCTTTTCATATCGCATGATTAGAATTTCACAACTATACACTATATTCTTAATCTATGTTTACTGATAAAATCAATATCGATGTTAATATTTTATCTTTTGCTTTTTTATTACATTCATGTCCTGTTTTGTATTTTTATAATACTTGTTCATATTCGAATTATTAAATTTCCACTTTACAAATTACAATATAAACTTTTTTCCAATTTGTGTTTATATATTTCAACATTGACATGATTGTAATTTGTTTTTTATCTTTTACATTAATTTATTAATATAATCGATCAGTATCAAATAATATTAATTTATATTGAATATTTTTTTATACGCAGTTTTATTTGCAACATGTCATAAAAAAGTACATATTAAATTTATAATATCACGAGATATAAATTTTTTTGTATTTTTATTATTATATAAATGCAGATTGTAAAGGAACGCTCTCGCGTGAAACTAGAAAGTTTTGTAAGAAAAGTGTAAATACACTTACCCTTTAACAATTAACGCATTAAGTGCCAAGTTACTTTAGAAATCTCTTTTTGATATCTCAGTGTGTTTTATATATATATATATATATATATATATATATATATATATATATATATATATATATATATATATAAATTCCACTTATATAATTATACATCGTGTAAATAAATGTTTCGAACTTTTCAAAAGTTTATATAATCATACATGATGCATGTGGTTTCGAGAAGAACAAAATTATAAAAGTGATCTATAACGAAAGTAAAGTTCTTTTATTTATCGAATATTATGCATATGGCACGTAATGTATTAGCATTTTTTAGTAACGTATAGTATTATAGATTGCCTACACATGTACAAATATCTGACACTTTGCGAAGTATTCGAATATAAAAAACTAGATAACAGTATTTAAAAAATATCAGAAAAATAAATATTTCGTTAATACTTATCACATATTGTTAGTATCCTAATATATGTTTATTAAAATAAACGTTTCTCATGCTTCCTTTACAAGTCGTCCGGAATTTATACATAACAAAGTATTTTCTACCGATATATTCTCATTAATGGCGCTTAGTTAGCTAAATCTAATTACTTAGTTGGTTAACTAAATTTAATAATAATTAGCTAATTAATGCTAAATAACATTAATGGCTGATAATTTTTATTTCGATTGTAAAACAGTAACATTATTTCGACTGTCCATTTGAATTGAATTTTTGTTAGTATATTCTACTTGGATAAGATATAATATCGATATAAGCGTAACCATTTATGACAACCATCGTTCATGAATAGTAAAAAAGAATTATAGCCATTCTTGAAAAAACCCCCGATTTTTAAGTAGATTTTCTCATAATACACCTTAACAAAAGAATCGTTCATGAATTGTGCAATCGGGAAGACTGCTTCTGATCGAGTTAAACTTAATGCGCAAACCGGATCTTAATAATTAATCTGTCATTTAGAAAGTTTATATACTCTGTGTTTTCTAAATTAATAAAAAATAAAATAGAAGTATTTTTATATATTCCACGCGTTTTTAGGATAATATTATTTAATTTACCGAAACAAAGTACTATTTATGTATTTAATATATTAGCACAGACATGTAAAAAAGAATATCACATTCCGTTTGCAGTAATAATTCCCTTTTGTACAAAATTATCGTAAATTCAAAAAGAAGCAGAGAACGCATATACTTCATTTATCAATTTACATTTCCGACATACTTAAAGTAAAACGCAAATAAAGTTATCCTAAGCATAATATTTTTGCGACTTAAGTATCTTGAACATATATATATATATATATATAAAGATTTACTGGTACAAAACCACCGCTAAATCTAAACTAGTCATGATCAATAATTGTTAATTTACTCTACACATAACAAGTAATATAAAATATCTTATTTGATCTTTAGCACTCAGACCCAGCTGTATGCGATCACAAAACATATTTTTTTTATCGCCTATTATAAATAATAATAAATCTTTCTATCAATCCATAACTTTGAATTCTAATATATCGTTATTAAACTACTAAAATTTAATATATATCTAGTAAAACAATAAAATCGATTTATAACAATTAGTTCCAACGATAGTTAATCGGAAGAACATCACGACAATTGGGACGACAAAAATACAGAAATTATCTTAAAACTTGTTTCTTTATTTCTATATTAAGACGGTTCTTTAACGGTATATATATATATATATATGTATTTTATTTATACTTTCACAACCCAGATTTGGCATATTTTTATAACTTCGTGGACGACTGTGAAATTACGGTAATAAAGAAGTAGTGCATTATAAATTGTACAGAGTGCGCAAGAAAGCTGCTATTTTGATAAAAACTTTTTCACACACTCTATGTACATGATGTATATCACCAGATATATTTTTACTATCCAGCTCTTGGTATTAATTCGTAGCCGACTTTTCTTTAATCAAAAATAATTGCCACCTACTGTCGAAGAAAATTTTCGTTTGATTACACGTTCCCAATTTTTAACAATATATATTTCTGCAACCATACTTTTGACTAAAATTCAAGATTTTATTCTTTTGTTCTAAAATATAATACACTAGAAGTTTTTCATTTTTAATTGAGTTATTTACTTAGACATTACGGGTGTTTCAATATTTTCGTTGAAGAAGAATTGACTTTGAGCAGACTAAAAAATCTATAGCAAAAAGTAAGACGGTACATCTGGTATATGCCTTTCAATCATCAATATGTCAGTCTCTTTGTGTGAGATCTACAAACTCACGCAAACTATTGCTAATAGTTAAAATCCCATTAGCAAACTTGAATTACCATACAATACTGTATATACGTCGCGTTACGAACTCTTAAATGCGCGTGGCATTACTGGCACATATTATCTCACGTAAGTGTGTTGCGTATTACATCTGTGCATGTGCATCAATGATTTATCTTAATTGTATTTCGTACATATTGGTACGATTCTTCCTACACACAGCACGAAGATTTTTCTGAATAACATTCGAGAATATAGATAATCAGCGGAAGTACATCAATTACTTAAATTGATATTTTGTGATAAAATTATATATGGGTTATTATTATTAGATATTCATCTATTTGATTCTATTATTTAGGTACGATTAGCTGAATATGCTGACATTTTCCCAAAAGACACAATTTAAAAACATTTCACATATAACTCGTATATCATATGTAAAAATTTAAATTATAGAGATATAACTAAAAATATTGATTCGAATTAAGATAACATTTAATTTGTTTATTTTTCCCGATTTTACGTTGAATCGTTGTCTGTATTAAATAATTTGTTTTTATAATTTGTTTGAATATTAGCTACTTTTGCTGTTAAAAGTTGCTAAATTCAAGAATAATCCGAAAGTATCTCAATCGACGCTTTATTATAAACACTTTTTTTGTTTCCCAAGATTGAGAGCCTTAAACAAACTAAATAAGTTATTGTTTCTGTAGACCTTTTGTAGACGGTTGATCTACTTCTGGCCAACTGTCTGGAGATTTGGAAGTCTGCACTTCCTCCTGGCCCTTTTCCGCTTCCCATTCGCTCTCTGGATCGGAGAACATATTTGGGCTGTCTAGAATGTCATCTAACGATGCGACTGATGCATTGCTCGACTGTAGATTTCCGTCGGTATAAAGAGACTCCGTATTTACTGCAACAATATATAACCATTTGCTATATAAAGTTTATAATTACTTCTAAATAAGAAATATTAATAAAGGTTAAAATGACTTTATTAAAATACAAATTATAAATCTATTATAAAACTTATGAAATAAAAAAAATTTTTTAATTCCACTTACCGTCGTTAATTGTACGCTGAGATAAATACGTGTGTTCATCCCAATCATCAAATTCGAGTTTACCATTGGTTTCTACTTCGTCCATAGAGAGCATAGCATGTGATTCCGAATCGGTTACGTCAAAGATTTCTGTCACTTGCACTTTGTTGTTATCGTCCATGTAGTAATACGCTATTACAGCTTCTTGATCAGTTGCCTAATAAGAAGTTAAATGATAAGAATATTAAATGTCAGTCAATTTTATTTTCTTTTACATCTTATATCAAATTTTAAACATCTTGTTAGAGTCTGACTACTCACTTGAAGAATACTCTCGAAAGTGTCATCCACTGTTGTAAGGTCGCCCATATTAATTACACAGTTTGATTTCCTGGATTCATTCCACGATTGCCTATAAATTGAAAATATATTAGAAGCAATAACATTAACTTTAAATCTTAATCGGTATAATTGTGTACACACACAACGTTAACTATTCCCACTTACTCACCGGTCATTATATTGGAGAGTTAAGTTCAGATTCTTTTGTTTCTTATACACGTCTGCGTCATCTCCAGACTGAATAATATCGTCCTGGAAATCTTTATGAGAATACGAAAATTATTATCAATGTTCAGTGGAATTATTTCTAAATAAATATTAAAAATTTATTTTATGTGCAGGATATTTTTACAGACTACTTAATATGAAGTTGGATAATAATTCTCTGATCATAATTAAAAATTATTAGAATTAATAAGCAAATATACTCACTCATGCCATATTCTGTGATATTAAACTGGCAGTTAATAAGTGGAGGCAATGGCTGCAAATAGACGTGGATCTTCGGGAACAGTACAGTCAATATTTCGAAGATAAATTTCCTTAATTCATCTAAGTTGTGTCGTAACTTTGGAATACTGAAAGTAATGATTCTGAAATAAAAAGAAATATATATATATATATATATATATATAAATATATA